AAAGGGGAAGTTCATAACAACAAATGCATAGCACGTTTAATAGCATGCAAACAAATCTGTAAAGAGTGCACATATGAGCGTGCTGAACTGCCACAGAATGTATTTTCGATGATTACGAGGCTTGCTCGGTGGGTTTGAAGTAAAGATTTTATTAATTTACAAAGTCATATTTTTTAAATACTTTAAATTTTTAGTTATTTTCGATAATTAAAAAAATACTCTTTTCATATTTATAACTTTTCTAGAAAACTAATAATTTTGTTATTTTTTAAATGAAATCAAAAGACTTTGTAAAATAATTCATATTAGATTACCAGCAATGTGGCAACTCCAAGTTGTTGAATACTTTAAGATCTTATAATTTTTATAAATGTAATTATACTTTTACGCTCCATATAAATTTTTCTTATATATTATTATATTTTCGTAAAATAACCCAACTCATGATAGATTCCCAATGATATGTTCACCCCAAATACTTAAATACTAAAAGTCTTAAAATATAATTGACAGCTGTCAGTTCAGAAAGAGTGACAAGTGGAAATATGTGAGATTTCCATACAAAAATAGCATCCCTCGTATATGGCATGTAAATAAGCATGTGAAACTGCGGTAGGTAGGCAAGCCCATACTAAGAACGAACTTGTTTTACAGAGTTACCATGGGGAGGGGTAAGGTACTTATATATTTGACTTGTCTGACGCGTTGAACAAGTATGTAGTGCGTAGCCAAAGGGCAAATTGTCCATTACGTTGATTTGTTTTTGCAAACAATAAATGCATTTAGTGTTGGAGAGTACCAACTGTGTAGATGCGTGTGGATGTGTGTACTCTTTTGACAAGTGACTAGAATGTCTTTGGCAGCCAAGCACATATATACATAGAGTGAGAGTAGTGAAAGGGAGAGAAAATCGTTAAAGTTGCGATTTATATTTATAAATAAATTAAAATAATTACAAACAATTTTGAAATCCTGTCCGACAATTCTCTTACATATTTTGCATGCTTGCTTCTAGAAAAAAAAATATTTATATAAATAAATACTACTAAATTTTTAATACAAAAAATTTAATTTTTAAAACTTATTAAAAAATATTAAAAGGTTGAAAACCCGCTTTTAAAAAATAAATACAATTTTTATATTACAAATGTATTGACGAAAACAAAATATTTTTTGAAGCAATGAATTGCCAAAATGTCAATATTTTTTATAAATTTTCTTAAAATGAATCATTGCGATTTTTTTTTCAATTTGGTGAAAAAAGTAATGTATAAGTTTCGTTTAGAAAAAATGTGTGAGAAATTCGAACAATAACAATGTAGTTAGGAAAGTGCAAGGAAGTTTTGAATGAAAACAAAATAATATTTTACACAAAAATTATAATGTTAAATAATACTTTAACTGTAACAAATATTTTCTAAAAATATATATTGCGAATATATTTTATAATTTTTCTACACCCATATATAATTTTGGAAATATATGGAAAACTATTTTTTAAAATGGTGTCATGAAACTATAGTATAAAAACTTTTTTTGTAGAAATGCAGATCTTTCAAATTAAAAAAAATTAAAGTACATATATACATATTATATATATTACCACGTTTAATTTTCGTAATATAAAAACTAACAATATAATATTTTAGCACATCATTCTATGGTCCACACCACAGTGCGTCACTATGACTCACGTCACTATTATTTCTCAAGTAGCTGTAAGTGGTTTTCAAAATAATTGAAAATGTATGCTTTGCAAACAGTGCAAAAGCGAAAGCACACACACGTACATATACATGTAAAGCTTTGCACTTAAAGCCAACGATGCTTCAACCACCCACCACTGCCTAGGCACACTTATTTTCAGGCATCAAAGCCACAAGAAAAATCGTTTGCTCTCACATTTTACAAGGCATTTAAATAGTAGCGTTAACACACACCTCGACAACAACTACAAGCCAAATTAAAGCAGTTTATGAGCGTACGTTTGAAAGGGCTTGTAGTGAGTTTTATAAGCTGATCCAAATAACATTTCAAACTTTTTTTAGTGTGTCTGTACAGATATTTTCTAAATGCTGCCATGACTTTAGAGCAGCACTGCTACTTCTTCGAAGAAGTTGCGTACCTTCGTTTCACTTTCTCTCACCATCGAAATCTTCAAAAGTTGACCACTCTTACCATACGTTTTCAGCCATCTAATACATTTACTTCTGTACTCCATCATCTTCTTTCACTCTTCCATTCTTCCATGAAGGGTCGCTGGGTATATGCATACATATATATGTATGTACGCATGTATCTTGTCACGCTGTAGTCCTTAGCACTTTGCATTAATGAGCAACTGTCAATTTCTGAGTAGCTGTCAAAGCTGACAGTTTCAACACAAGCGCACACATACTCGCACATCTACATATATGTAAGTTTGTACGTTTACTAAATGTAAACAGTGTGACCGCCTTCTTCAGCGCCATCAAGAAGTCAAAAACTGTAGTGTTTGCTTGACGTTTGGACGCTGCAGTTGCTCTGCTTTACATACAAACTTACTTATACTCATGCATCTATATTTGAATATGTCTGTATATATGTACTGCCAATACCTTGACCCATTTTAGTCGGAAATCACAATTTGCTTGTCTTTTTCCTTATTTTCCATTTACTATAGCTTCTAATAGAATGCCATTTGATTGATTCTTTAGTTGATATGGTCAACTGAACCAGAGGTGACCAAACAATTTAACTCCGGAGCCACACGACAACAACATCAATAAAAATTACAACAACATTCAATAGTTCTCGAAATGACAAAAAAATACGTCGAATCCAAACTTTATACTTCTAACTTGCTTGCTGTGAGCATTTTGCGAGTTATTTATAAAAAATTCTTTTGTTTGCTGTAAGTGATGTTGTTGTGAGTCAAGCGGAGACACTTTATATTGTCAGTAACCAAACGGAGTCTAATGACCTTTGGCGGGAGTAACCTTGAAAAAGATGGCTGATAAGTTATGTGATGGTAAACCATTCGAGGAGTGTAGAGGATGTATGAGGGATAAAAACAAACAAGATTTTGGCGCCTGAGAACTTTTCTTTTAATGGAAAATGTGAGGTCAGAGCATTGAGCAGTAAAATAGTTGAGTGGTGTTCCATAAAATATTAAATAAATTCTAAGAATTTTCATAATTATTTAATCGTAACCCTAATAAGAACAGCTTTTTGAGGATTAATCCGAAAAATACTGTAATCTTTATAACCAGCATCCCTACATCAGTGCTTAAAATAAATGTATATGTTTAGGGCTACTTCTATTTCGTTTATTCGCCTATTACCATCTTTCATTTCTTCAGTGAAATTTAAGTGAGTTAACGGAAGGTTAAACAGTTAAAAAGTTTCTTACAGTTATAAAAATCAAATAATCAACTAGCTTAAAAGATCCTGAAATATGTTTTGAATCTCTGCAAAACCAAACAGCTAAATTCTCTCCAAAAGTTGAGCATAATGCTGAATAGATCGGAGTTCTAATTGTCGTATAATATAGCCTCAAAATGTTATATTTCTAGTGCATATTACTTTGATTTTTGGACTTACTGCCAGAGAAGTGAACGCGCAAAGTCTGATCTCAATATATTTTTTTTTAAATAAGTACAAAGACACACAAGCTACTCTAGAGAAAAGGTATGTGGGTATTTTTTTTTTTTATATTTTGAAAACAGTTTTTTTTAATTTAATAATGTGAAATAGAAACTGAAACCAGAACGATTTCCATATTTTGGTCTCTTACTGTTAAGACACTCCTTAACGCTTGTATCTATGTGGGAGTCTATTTTATCAAGTGGATCTCCGATTTTTTATCCAAATTCTCTAATAGTAAATATAACCATTTTTTTAAGCCAATCTTCATATATTACAAATTAATCGCCATCAATCTTTTGGTGATTATTGTCACTACCATATTGATATTAAAATCTATTCAAGCGAAATGTGATACTGCACATTCATGTACAACAACGAAATGGCAATTTTTACCAAAGAAAGACAGTAGAGTGTGAAATATGTATAAAAGCACTACTGCAAATAGATATAAATAAACAATCAGTCATTTGCTGCGGCCACACAATGCAAACATATGCCATGCTACGCTATGCCAACAAGCAACGATTAAGGGCTGTCAAATGCATGATTGTTATGCCAATATTGTCGTGATTTATCGTGTGATTGGCTTTTTTAATAATTTTAGGCATATACTCACATATGTATGTATACGTATGTACATAGTAAGAAAGTATTTGTATGCATTGTTAGCAGCTTTTTTGAAGTGTTCGGGTGTTATATGAAGCCCTAATGATTTATGCTGCCTTTTATACTCTGAACAGGGTATATTAAGTTTGCCACGAAGTTTGTAACAGCCAGAAGGAAACGTCGGGATCCTATAAAATATATACACAAATGATCAGAATGACGATGTGAGTTGATTTAGACATGCGCGTCTGTCTGTATATATGCAAACTAGTCGCTCAATTTTACAGCAATCGATTTGAAATAGTGCACCCGTCCTTTTCTCACTTAGAAGTTGCTCACTTGTTGGACCACTATAGCATATAGCTGTCATTCAAACTGAACTTTTTTATTTGACGAGATATCTTCACGAAATTTGACATGAGTTAATTACTAAGGCATATAAATGCCATACAAACTGAATTATCGGAATCAAGTGCTTGCATGGAATCAAGTGCAAAGCAATAATGCAATCGCCGAAGAAATTGTTTAGATCGGGCTACAATAGCACACAACTATAGCGGGCATACAAACTGAGCGATCAAAATTGAGTTCTCATATAAAATCTTTTTTATTTGTGAAGCGTATAACAGCTACGGTGTAACCGTACCGGTTTTTCTTGTTTTTATTAATATTTTCTAACACTCTGTCTGCCTGCTACATTCAAGCGTACCCAATGATTAGCAGATATTAATCGGCAGCTATTGTGCGACGATAAGCCTTATCTGTTATAAAAATTAAACAAAAAGTAGCAGATTGGTTCGTGTGCTTCTCAAACACCGCACAAACAGTTAGTTCGCTGTGCGCTTCATTGGCGATGAATTAGCATTTTCTTAAATTTCATTAGCAGTGCGGTTTCACATCGCTGCACAGAAGGCAAGCATTTGTTTGGGCAACATAAAAAAGATAAAGAAAAGAAAAATTCAACGAAAATACAAAGACAGCAAAATTGAGCGCTATTTATCTTGTATTGTTAGTCAACATCTTGTTTGGATTGCAAACATTTTTTGGACGCGTTTAATAAGGTGAGCAAATACTGTGCTATTGTGTGGCTTGTTACAGATAAGTAAGTAGAAAAAGTTATTATTTATTTACCTTTATCTAGCTTTTGTTTACTACATTTTTTTCGGTATTGTTCGCTTCTTTTTTATAACACCCCTCTAACCCGTGAATGGCTTTTGACAATTAACAAGCATCGAGACGTGTTTGACTAAGAGTTTGTAGTATTGCGTACGGCATTGCACGCTGGCATTTACATATGTTCTTCTGGACATGAACAAACAGCTAAGCAAGACAAACACAAAAATAAATGAAAAATCAACAACAATGTGTGCGTTTTGTGGCGGCCAGCGCAGAGACAAGCACCAAATCAACATGACAAGCATGTAGCACTAATAAATGTGATACTGTTTGTGTGTATATTAATAAAATTATAGCCACACATACACAACAGCTCAATAGAAGTGAACTAAGTCCACTTTTCCGGCCGTCGATGGTGTAATAGTGCAACGGTCGTGAGTGTTTTATTTCCGCTTTGTCATTCTAGCCGGCGGAAAACGCCGTCACATAAGTGCAGACGCGTCGTCAATTGCTTACGGATATTAATTTTCAATTAAATGTCATGTTTTCATTATTATCCAATATTATTCTCTTTATTTTTTTCGTGAGGGCATGGAATGACCTGCACAAGCTGTTATTTCTTATATGAAGTTTTAAGTGTATTTATTACTTTCGTAGGTGGACAGCTCGGCGGGATCAATGACATTGAGTTCGGAGCAAATATTCAAAGGAACGCGCTGCAATTGTTGTTGTACTCGATCCGTAGTCGTAGCTTGGCGATAATTGTTTCTGAAATATTTTAGCATTTCAAAATGTCTATACCTATCTTCACGAAATTTGGCATAGCTAATTGCACAAGGCAATGCTAAAATGTCTGAGCAAATTTTTTAAGTGGACCAACGTAGCATATAGCTGTCATACAAACTGAACGAATAACATCCTTGTATGATAACATTTTTATTTGTTAAGGGTATTCCAGCTTCGTTGTACCCGAAGTTCATGCGTTTATTTGCTCCTTAATTATAAAGGGATTTAGATTTTGCTATCAAAACATAAGCAATTCAGGCCCACTAAAGTTATATACTATATAGACTATATTATATATAACTATATTTATGGTACTGATAATCACGTTTTTACAGTTAAAAGGAGAATATTCTTATATCAGTTTCAGTCTCAAGTTTTTAAAAAAGCATACAATTTGGTTGAAAAATTTCTGCGCTCGAAATCAAAAAGTACTCTTTTTGGTACAAAATATATTTGTTATTCCATATAATCTTCCTTAACTTCAATACACTTATTCCAATGATCCTCCAATAATTTTATTCCATCCCTTTAATGAAAAATACTCGTCTACGGCTGTAATAGCTTCTTCATTCGACGAAAAACACTTTCTACGAAGGAATAATTTTAGGTTTCTGGGAACCTAAACTGGTGAATTCGTACTTTAATTAGTTGAATTTTGTTATTGTTAAAACACCTTTGTTAATAGGTGCATTGTTTTGATAAAAAAAAAAAATATTTTTTGTGCTGCAAACGAGGTTTTCTCTCACGAAGTTGATTGTTTTGCCTTCCTGCAGATAATTAATCAACAAAATTCCTTTTGCATCCAAAAAAACTGTTGTCATAACCTTCTTTGCTGATGTAAAATTTCTTGTCTCAATTTAGGATCATGGTGGTAGATCCATGTCGCAACCATAGTTATAAAACGACGCAAGAAATCGGTTTTATTCTGCTTAGAACACTTCAAATTGTGCTGAGAAATTTGTTTTAGATTCAGGTTTTGTTGAATTGGTAACGTGTACAGTAATAGGAAAGTACTCTATCGTCTGAGATGCCCATGGCATTAGCAATTTCACGCATAGACAAACTTGGATCTAACAATATTATGAACTTGCTGGATCATTTCTGGTGAGGTTGCGGTTTTTAGTCGTCCTTCGCGTGTCACTTCGCGATATTACATTTTTTATATATTAAAAAAATACACTGACACTTCAATGGCTCGTAAACAAATTGACAGAATGACTGGCCACTTAGCATGTGTTCTCACGATAGATGTACCAATTTGAGAAAAAAAAATTTGGAGCATTCGTCCCATTTCTTGGTGAGCAATACTCGCTTTTAAACCTGTTCTTATGAAAAAACTTGAAAGTACAAATCGAATCCAGTTAAGAAAAGGAGAAGTAAAAAAAATAACTATAAGAAACCTTGTAGGTAAAAAAATTCAAGTTAGGCGAAAATAAGGTAGGGAAAAATATGAAAATATTTTACTCAGCAAAGAAAAAGAAACATTCACTGATCAAATGCAGTTGAAATTAAGGAAAGTGAAGAAAATGCTTCAACAAAGAAAAGATTTTAAAGCGGTCAACTCGTGTGGCGAGTTGAACTTTTAAGATTTGTAAATAATCCTAGTTCCAGCGATAGCCATCTATCTACAGATGAAAACGGAATGTGCTTTTTTGATGCCAGGTTAGCCAGTCGCTGGAATCATGGACGCCATTTCTCTCCCTATTTTCAAACGCAATTTACAAAATGTTTTTAATTAAAAACATTTAAAATTACAGCTAAAGGTTTAAATATATATATATATTAAAAATTTAAAAGCTCTGTGTTTTTTCATTTCTCTATAAAAAATATCCGAAAAAAAGATATAAAAACCACACACACGGATGACCGCTCAAGTCTCTTTTTGAAACCCAGAAGGGAAGAATTTGCGTCCTTTTAACCGTAAAACTGTCGACTTGTATACCTGACTTTACAACGATGACAAATCAAATAAACAATTGAATAAGTAATGAAACAAATATTGCCTACATTTTGGCGCATAAAAAATGTTCCTTTCCTATCCTTTTTTTATGTCTGCTGTTAAAATCAGTATAGATGAGCGTTATTGACTATTGTTTTTGTAAACACATGTGAAACCGCTGAAAATGTGTAAAAACTTGTGTGTATGTCTGCATGTGATCTTTAATGACAATCACAAACAAACAATTGTCATTTAACATTTGATTCGATTGGCATTGATTAGATTTTCCAAACATCTATGGTATATTAGGCTAAGTGAACATTACATACATTTGTGTGCCGGTGTTTTACTGTAATCGTCGTTTTTTCGCCTGCCAGACTCACACATACACACCGTATGTCATTATTCTTTTGTTATTGATGACATTATGACATTCCCGTTAATTAACAGTTTCACCGCACTTAACGTCACAAACCAATAATCAACAAATTAGTGCTGTGGGCCGGGCAACGACTATTGACGACATTCGTGATTGCGGCTAAAAATGTAACATTTTGCTATAATTAATTTAAGCTATCTGTTATTGCTTTTGTTGCTCGTCCTATAACGGTTGTCACACATGTAATGATCGTTGCAGACACAATTCAATTATAGCTTTGACATTTCTCGAATTAGTTAAACATTCACATACATACGCATACTTAAATATTTAACCACCGTTAGACGTATTTGTGAAAATTAACGAAAATTTACAAATTTTTTGGGCGTTACACGAAAATTTTGTTATAAATAGGCGCAAATGATGAGTTGATTAACAGGGAAACGGTTAATTTCATAATTAAATCTAAATATCAGCGATTAAGTCGTCATGCCGTTAAAATATGAAATGCATTTTGTGTAGGGAAAAGGTGTTTCCAAGTGACATGTTTCGAAGACATAAATATTGAAGGTGGAATTTTGAACTTTTTAAATTATTTTAAAATATAAATCGCAAAAAGTGTTCGAAGAAATTACTTTAAATTATGGTTCGTAATCATAATCTTACAATAATATTTTCCGAGTAGTTGGTCACATTTTTGATTTCACTTCTGAAAACTAACACACTTCAGCCTGTAAGTTCGGCTCTAGTTTATTGTTGAGCGATTTAACAACTTGCTTTAATAAAATAAAGAACAAGCTATGAGTATTCTCATCCGACAGATTGTTATTAAATTTTTAGAAAATGTGACTAAAAGGTAAGAGCCCACAAATATAAGAAAAGTGTCATATAACTTTGACTCATTCAGACATCGATTCATAATGAGAGTAAGAAGAGGATCCCAATACAAGGATACGTTTCTGAATAAATATATAAAATTAAATCAATATTTTTTAATCATTTTATACTTACTTTGTTTCTAAATGATTATCTTAATAAAGTTTTTATTAGTGAGCCACCTAATTTGTATCACATACCTGAAAGAACCAAAGGAGGGTGGGAATTAGTTTAACTTATCTTGTTGGTAAAGTATTGTTTAGAAAATTTAAATTTACAATATTTTATGTTATATTTTTATCAACAATATGTTAAGCAAACAAATATTTATTTTAATATCAATTTTCAAATATATGGGCCATTAAATCGAAAATTTACCTTCAAACATTTTTTTCGTACAAAACAATTTTTTTTTTTGTATTGTTTGAGGAAAACATTTGACACGTATTTTCTTATTTCGACTCAATATGAAAAATCAAAATTACAATTAAATAAGTTGAATTTTTTAGAAATTTTTTATAAATAAATAAATACATTTTTTTTCAGTTTGGAGCTATTTTATTCAGTTTTTTTTCGATGGAATGAGCCATATAGATTTTAAAAGTAATGATTTATTGTATCTAATTTTCTTTTATAGTGATTTTATTTCCGGTTTTTTAACAACCCAATAGTTTACAAAAATAAGATATTTACCTACAGGTGGTGCTTTCACATATTGCTAAGCAACCAAGATAAATTGTCAAATTTGTAAAAGTAAGGTGTTGGCCGAAAGCATTTTAATGTAACTCCATGAGCATGACTATAAAAAATGCAAGAACACTCAACAATTTGAAATAACTTTAAATGCAGTTTATCTACGAATTGATGCCTTCGAAAGCCACGCTTCACACATACTTACCAAATATCGTCTAAATGCTCACCTACTTAGTGCAATAACAAATTACTCCTGCGATAAAAAGAAAAAA